ATATATATATATATATATATATATATATATATATAGGATTAGGATCATGTAAAAACAAGTCTTAGGGTGAAAACATGAAAACAATTAATCCCAGCCGTAGATTATAATCTAACGGATGATATTTAATGTAAATATATCCTAATTTTCTCTCTCCTCCCGCGAAAACACTTTCTCTTTCCTCTGTTTTTCTTCCTCCTCTTCCTTCTCTCTTCACTTTCTCTCTCTAATTTCTCGACATTAGCTGAACTCCTTCAGCAACACCGCTTCAATTACCATCAGCGAACTCCTTCAGCAACACCGCTTCAATTACTTTGATTTTTAGCAATTTTTCTCAGCTCTACGATCTATTATCAGGTGAGTTCTTTGTGTAATTTCGCTATTTTTGCACGATTTGAGGTTATTAGGTTTCTGAAATTTTGTTTGCTGGAATTTCATGAGTACTTTTTTGTAGATTCAACCGAAAATTTAATGTCTATTATGTTTTTTCGTGTATGATTTTTGTTTAATTTTGTAATTTTGCAAGTTTTTTATTTTATTTTTCGATTTGATTTTATTTTTGAATTTCCAACTTAAGTTTCGTTTTAGTAGAAGTATTTTTTAAATGTATTTTGTTTAATTTTTCTTAATTTAAGTAAACTAGGTTTTTATGTGTATTTTTGCTCGAAATTCTGCTTTTGTTGTTCTTCTTCATCTTCTTAGTAACACGATTTTTGTTTTGAGCATAATTTTGTTTTTGTTGATTTCGAGTTTAGCTGATTTTTGTGGATTTTGATTTCGAATTAATGCCTGTTAGGAATGCGAATAGCTAAAATGCGAATTGTGTGTGTGTGTTGTGTTTTGGAGTAGTTAATTTGAATTTGAGTAATTTTGAAGTGTTTTAAGTGGATTTGTGAGTGAATTCGGGAGAGTTTGGAGTAGTTAATTCGAATTTTGAGTAATTTGAAGTGTTTTTAAGTGGATTTGTGAGTGAATTCGGGAGAGTTTGGAGTAGTTAATTCGAATTTTGAGTAATTTGAAATGTTTTTTAGTGGATTTGTGAGTGAATTAGTGAGAGTTTGGAGTAGTTAATTCGAATTTTGAGTAATTTGAAGTGTTTTTAGTGGATTTGTGAGTGAATTAGTGAGAGTTTGGAGACATAAATTAGCTACACTGGTTCCTGCTTCCACTTGGTGTCCAACTCGATTTGTATTTTCCCGTGTTCCGTTTGGTGTAGGCAACAGGAATGGTCATCAATCTCTTGCTAATGATGATCTGGAATTGAGACTGACCAACATGGTGACATGTTTGGAGATGGACTAACTGCCTTGGTTGCATTGGTGTTCCTTGATGCTGTTGTGTTTCTCTCTTACAACCTGTCTTTCTTATTTGTGATTTGAAGTGGTTTCAGCTGCATCAAATGTCATTAGGTTCCTACATGAATTATTTGCCTTTTGCACTTAGATAAATTTTCTGGTGTTTGTGATATTGATGCAAAGACTCTTTCCACATCAACCGTAGAAAGAAAGAAAGAAAGAAAGAACATAAAGTATGAAGAATGCTTCCTGGTTTAAGATACTGACTTTGATTCTATATGTCCGATTTTTGGTGTTGAGCAGATTGCTTAAGCGACTAACCCAGGAGCTACAAACATCTGGGTGGATTGTGATAGATTGCTTCTGATCATGCTAAATCGACATCTACATGACTTTCTTGACTGTTGAAAAGTGTACTTCTAGTCTGACATATGTGCATGGTTAATTTGACTCTGTACTGGATTTTGCTTCAAAATTTCTGAATTAGGCCTGTTTTGAACTTGAATCAAGGTAGCCAGAATTCGAGGATTTGGATACCTTAGTTTGATCTGATTTTCACTGCCCTGACCTGACCTGAATTGATTTTTTTATTCGTAAACAAATTGGTTGTCAAAAGACATAAATATGAATATGACCTGAACTTGTTCTAAAACCAAACCAAAATAAACTGAATCTTTTGGAGGGTGTTGGACTATGTTATTTTTGAAGTTTTTGTTTTAAAAAAAGGTCACTATGCCATAAAAAGAGGCAACTACTTTGGTTTCTTTTGTTTATCTTTTCATATGTCTTGTTACAGGGTGCAACAAGGATTTTCATTCGATTGGATTAGATTTTATTCCTATGGTGAGAACTAGAGGTGGTGCTACTTTTAAAAAAAAGGAGAGGCCTTCGTAGCTCAGCAGGAGGAGTTAAATTGAAAGATACAGGAGGTATGATGAATGTTTGATTTTTGGATTATTAACCTTAATATACTAGTTGCTCTATTATGATAGTCTCCTAATACTATAGAATGTAGGTCCCTATATTAATATAAAAGTTACTATATTATTAGTTCCCTATGTAACTGAAAAAAGGTCACTATATCAATGACAATGATTATTATTTTTAAGTTATTAGTTTGCTATATTATAATTGTTTGCTAAGATGAAAATGAAGATAATTGTATATATAACTATATGCTTGCGTGTTTTTAGCATGTATCAATCTCGATCATGAAGATGAAGAGCATATTGATGGTGGAAGCAAAATGATCGATGATGATACTAACAGAGATAAAGATGCTTGTATTGAAAAAGGATTGAAAAGAAAGCTATCACTAAGAAAAAGAAACCTTCTAACATTGAGAATGCTATACCTTTGTCAACTGTGATGGAAGGAAAGAAGGGGAATAAGTCTTCTTCTTCACATGCTATTGTTTTGCCAGCTAAGAAGAGAAAGTTGGATGAAAATGAAGGTCTTAAAGTGAAGAAAGTGAAGGCAAATAAGGATAAGAACATTGTGATTCATAGGCAAGAATCTGCAATCATAGATAGTGATGTACATATGTAAGTGAATATTTGTTTCTTTTTTTGAAGTTTTGTTTAAAAAAAAGGTCACTATGCTATAAAAAGAGGCTACTATTTTGGTTTCTTTTGTTTATCTTTTCCGTATGTCTTGTTACAGGGTGCAACGAGGATTTAAAACACGTTGCAGGCCATTTCATTTAGTAGAGATGATAAAAACTTTTTCAGATGATCAAATCAAGGCTGTTAAAGAAATTGGCTTTGGAGGTTTGTTATCTTTGAAGGTGAAACGAACTGCAACTGATATGCTATCATGGTTGGTAGATTGTTTTGATCATGGTAGCTGCATGTTTACTATTGATGGTAAAAAAGATTTTGTTGTGACTGAATTTGATGTGTATGATGTTTTTTGCCTTCCTTGCAAAACATCTAAGAAAGTTGAAGAAATTTCTCGTTGTGCTAATGTCATCAACCCTGATTATGATTTAAAGGTTAAATGGAGGTCTCATTTTTGGTCTTATGGGTGAGAATGATCAGATTCCTTTGGGTTTTTTGGAATCTAAGATCCCTTTACTAGTAGATGGTGGGGAAGAATTCAGACAGCTTTTTATCATGCATGCTTTTTCAAGTTTTTTAGCACCTACGTCCAACAGAACTGTGGATTTGAGAATTGTAAAATGTTTGGTTGATGTTAATCAAATAAGAATTATAATTGGTCAAAATATGTCTTAGATAGACTTTGTGAAGCCGTGAAGAGCTACAAAGAAGGAAATATAGAATGGTTTTGTGGTTGTGTTTTGATGTTAGAGATTATCTATTTTCATCGATTGAGGTTTAGGAATGTTGTGTTAAATTCTACAATACCTTTAATTCAACATTGGACTGATGTGGATATAAGAGATAGAATTAGAAATGAAAAGTTTGTCCAAGGGTTTTGGTGTGGAATTCTTGAGTTTGATACATATCCAGTGAGTGAGAAGTTGCAATTTGAGGATGGACAAGTTGTTTGTAATCAATTCAAGGAAGCTCCTGTGAATCAAACTTCTGGAAAAGAATCTGTTGTTTATGAAGGTGTCCGTAGCAATGTTAAGGGTGTTATTCAGTTTGAGCTACCTGCCAGTTCAATGTCTAATGAGGAAATCCGTTCAATTGCTATTGATGTAAGTATTTTACCCTTTAATTCTGTCTGTCTGTTTGGTTTTTTCTTTTTTTTTTTTTTTTTTTTTGTCACAAATTATTTTATTAAATCTAAGTGCTACATTTTTTTTTCACAGGAAGTTTATGAGAAGTTTTGCTCATGAAAAGAGATTTAGAAGTGGTATCTAACTTCTACATGAATGAGTTGAAAGTGTTATTTCAGACTCGTAAATCTAATGATGCTTCAACTTCGACACCCTCCAATGTCCCAAACTGATTTATTCTTTATGAATCCTCGTGTTCATGAAATTGTTGATGAGATTGTGTCTCTTGTAAATTGGGTAAGCAAAGTGCCTAATGGTTTGGATGATGATGATATTGATGATAATGGTGCACCTGCAAAAGAGATTAATGTTGTAGTTGGTGAGGTTCCAAGGATAGGTTTTGAGCATGTTTTGAGTAATGGAAAATCTAAATGCTCCCTTGCTATGGATGTTAGTCTCTTTGGTGATAAAGTTACATATGTAACTGAATATATGAAGTCAAGTAATAAGGATATGAAGGTTTTGGATGCAGTTGTCCAGGAACTTGTTGACTACTGCATTAGTGATTATCATGGTTTCGATCTCAAGTAAGTCATGTCATTGTTCTTTTTGTTATTTATTTTCAAATTTTAATAATAAGTGACTATGTTAATATACATGTGTCTTTTTATTTCCTTGTACAGTGAGGTGTTGGTATCTTTTGGCAAACCATTTGAGATTACAAGGAATGAATTCCTTTCATTAGGTGCACCGGCTATTGCTATATCTTCTGCTATTATTGATTGTTGGGCTATGTTGCTTAATGAAAACCAGAAGAGTAGTGCACATGGACCTCAAAAACTATATTTTGGTGTTTCTCAAAGTGTAAGTATCTTTCGGCTATTTAGTTACTACATCATTATAATGGTAGTTGTTCATTATAAAAAATTCATAAATTAATTTCACTATGTATTGAAAACAGTCACTATGATTCATAAATTAATTTCACTATGCAATGAAAACAGTCACTATGTAATGCAAGTAATTACATTTAAGAAAAAATAACTCTACCTTCTAATTTTTTTAATATTTAATTAATGTTTGTTCTTTTTTAGGCTTTTTTACTGAAAGTTGCAAACACAGATAGTAACACACAAGACATTGACAAGCTATTTGACATTTGGTCAAGATGGTTGTTCATTCCTTGCAATGATTTTGATATTGCAAATGTTGAGTTGGTAATACATTGCAAATGTTGACAATCATTTTTCAACTAAGTACTTTTATATTAAGTTTTTCAAGCTTAATAGTTGTTTATTTATTTATTGCAGATATTTGTTCCTATACTCTTGAATGAGCACTTTTTCCTAATTGTTGTGAATTGAAGGAAGAAAAGCTTCAGTTCATAGATAATATGAGTTATGATACAAAGTACATGAGTGAGGTTGAGAAGTTCTCTGATGTTCTGGTAAAAATATGATATTTTGGATTTTATTTGTATTTTTCTAGTTAGGATATGCTTCATGGAACCTAAAGTATTAATTTATTTTGCCTAGAGTGATATGCTGAGTACTTTTCTTGATCAACGCCTTCCTCAAAGTAATGACTCAGTGAAGAACATGATTGAGTATACTTTGGAGTCACCTTCTGTAAATTGGAAGTCTGGAAAACAGAAGAATAATGATAGTGGCATTTATACTATGGTCAGCATGCTTTACTTTGATGGAGCTGATGTGTTCGACTGCAATGTTTTGAAAACGGTTATCTCGTCTCATTTTTTTTATTTGGCTTTCAATTTTTATTATATTAACTATTTCCTCCATGGAATTTAACTAGCTTTTTTATTCTAATTTTTGCTTAAATTTAGGTTTCAACTAGACGGACATTGAGAGCTCAGATTGCTGCTACTCTGGTATTATCTGATATGAACATTGTCAGAGATGAAGTTCTTGAAAAGCTATCTGAATTCAGATTAATAAGGAGTCAAGTTGCAAAAGATGTTTTTGATGGGATTAAGAAGAAAACAAAGCAAGGTAAAAAGGAAAAGAAAGTATAGGCAGACTAACGAATATGTGGATGAAGTTTTTTGCTCGGAAGTATTTGTATTTTGCACAGAAGTAGGAAATCTAATGTAATGATGTAGTTTGCATCAACAAATGGATAATCTGACAAAATTGTATAAGTGTTAATATAGAACAATATGATATGATTGCAGTTCATACAAAGCTTTTTGAATTGGTGGTATTGGTAGTTCTTTTGATATGTAATCTTTAATTGACATTCAAGAAGTTTAGTGAAATATATATTAGTTATAAATTTGGCGCCTATGTTATAAAAAAATGGTACCTATGTTATTTAAAAAGGTTTCTATATGATAAGGTCACTATGTATTTAAAAAGGTATCTATGTTATTTAAAAGGTTTCTATATTATAAGGTCACTATGTATTTAAAATGTTATTAGTTCAATGTGTTATATATAATTAAGTTATAATGCAAAATTATCACCATATTCATTATTATATTTTGTATACATATGTGACAAGTTTTCAAAGGACCTATGATAAATATGTACCTAAAAATGTCTAACTTTTTTTTATCTCTTAAAAAAGAAAAAAAAAACTTGAAAAAGGATATTATATTACTTTTTATAGTCATTATGTAAGTAAAATGGCATTATATGAGGTAAAAATTTCCAATTACTATGCGATGCAAAAGGATCACTATGAGATGCAAGAGCGTTACTATGTGATAAAAAAGATTTCTATAATAATCTGTCTCTATTTAAATAAAAGGTCACTATGTAAGGTAAAAGTGTCGTATTTATATTAATCTATTCTTAAGCTATTCATTTAGTATATCAATTAAAAGAACGAGCCCCTCCTTCCCTAACTTTGTATTGGCTTAATCGATGTGGATTAGAAGAATTGTTAAAATGTGAGTAGTTTTTATACGGTTGTTATATCATAATAAAGGTCATTATATCACTAAAAAGGTTATCACGGAATAAGGTGTCAATACGATGAAAAAAAGTCACTATGACGTTAAAAACACATACTATAATATAAATTGAAGTTATCATATGCCAATATGTCACTACATCAAAAATAACAATATAAAGGTCAATAAAAAGTTTAACAATAAAAGGTCACCCTATCAATAAAATTTGAACAATAAAAGGTCCCTGTTTAATATATGTGAAACAATAACAATCACTATATCAATAAAAAGGGCACTATAGCACTATGTTCTTTCTTTCCTCTCATCTCCTCTATTTCAGCACTAGGCTGTCAGTAGCCGATGTTGCTTCTTGTAAATATGAAGTGGTTTTGCAGCCTTTCTACTCTTCTTTGAAATCCTGAAATCATGTACACGAACATATATAAAGTGAAAATCTAGTGGGAAGTAAACATAGTACAAAATTTATTTATTTTTTTCTACAAAAATACCTCATTCAAGTTGGATTTTTTTTGCGGACAATTCCGACTATCATGGTTTGTTCTCTGACCACAAGTTCTACAAAGTCTATCTTTCCTTTGGCTTTCCTCAATAGCTATCTCTTTGTCAGATTTTTTCCTTTTTCCACTACCACTACCTTTGTTGGAAGACTTGTTTGGAGGAAGAATATCAACAACTATGTCATTAGATCCAACAAATAATTCGATGTGTTTATTTTTTGCCTCACGTTTATCAACTGGACTTATAGAATCCAAGTCTTTCATCTCATTTTCAAAAGATATTAGCTTAGACAACAATGACTCTAGGCATTCAACTTTCTCCTCACAAAGACTTACACATGAAAAAAACCTGCACCATAAATCACCAACTAGCTTTTGCTTCTTATCCTTCTCTGCCCCATCAAGCAAGTTGTTTAAGCCAAAAATTGGTTTCTTCATAGCTTCTTTAGTCCAACGATGTAAAACATATTGCCTTGGAATCTCAAATAAGAACTTTCCTTTCATGACAAAGAGAATGTGACAACATAATATTCCAACAGATTCAAACATTTTACAAGAGCATGAAGCATCATTAGAACACAAAACATATGTGACATGATAGCTTTTTTTCCTTGTGTTGTCAACAATTCTATATTGCTCAATCCCTTCTTCTTCTTTGATGGTAACATTACTTATACCACAATTGTACAAAGCATGCTTGAATTCCTTTTGGAATATGTAAAATACATTATGAGTGTAAGCAAATGCAGCATGCTTTTCCAAGTACAGGGGGGTGACAAGTTGGGGATGTGTAGTTTTTGAAGTAGCATTCAACTTGTCTTGTGTGTGCCTTTGAGCATCGATTGCAGATTCATAGCGAAACCACAACTCAACCAATAACAAATGCTGATTGGTGAAATTAGTGAAAAAGCTATTTTCACTCTCTGATCTTTGAGTTGACCTTAAAATCCCACCCATAAAAAGGTCACGAAAGTAGGAAGGAATCCACATATTCCTTATATTATACATATTTTTGAACCAATCTTCATTCACTAAATCAAATTCAGACATCACAGACTGCCAACCAATTTCAAATTCTTCTAGTTCAAGGTCTCTATTCCACACAACAGAGTTTAGTTTATGAAGAAAATCAGTTTCTAAGCATAATTTGGGCCCTACCTTTTGTGGCACTTTTTTCATAATGTGCCACATACAAAACCTATGTTTTGCCTTATCAAGAACTTTTTCAATTGCCACTTTCATCGCAGGGTCTTGATCTGTCATGATACAGGTAGGCTGACAGTTATTCATTGCCTTTAAGAAAGTTTCAAATAACCATTCAAAGGATTCAATATCCTCCTTTGCAAGTAAGCCTATCCCAAAAGTCACACACTTACCATGGTGATCAACACCCGTAAATGGGGCAAAAACCATAGAGTATTTGTTGGTGTCAAATGTTGTATCAAATGTAATCATATCACAGAACAACGAATAATTTTTTCTACTAATTGCATCTGCCCAAAATACTCTTGTCAAGCGTTGATGTTCATCCATACAATGCTCAAAGAAAAAGGCACCTTCACTGTTTTCAGCTTTTTCTTTCAAATTGTTTATAAACATCGAAGCATCTTTCTCTTGTATGTAAGCTTTCAAGTCTCGATTAAAGTTCTTGAAATCATTCAATGTTGCACCTATATTATCATAGCTACCAAGATGTTCTTTCATCAACTTATAAGACTTGTTTGGACCAATGTTCAATCTAGAGTTGTCAAAAATGAATTTTTTCTGGCTAAGTTTAAGGTTTCCAACATTTGCCAAAAAATTCATTGTGTTGGGAGAAGCAAGATTGTGGCTATGAGATTCATGAAAGACATAAACCATCCATTTTCCATCTGAACGTTCTCTAAACCCAATCATTGCATTACATCCAACACGATTTATGGTTCTTTTTCTAGCTTTAGGATTTTTATCTTTGTTAGAAACTTTTGCTTTAGTTTCACCATCCTTCGTAAACCCTTGTTTATTACAATGTAAATATTTCAAGTAGACTTTATCACTATCTTTAATTCTCTTTTCAGTACCTAGTCTTACCACAAACCCACCAAATCTAGCATATTGCTTATAAAAATCAACACCTTTAAGTAAGGAATCAAAAAGCATACCAAGTGTAGGCTTTAGTTCAGGGGACAACACGGTATAAACTCTTTTGTTCCTCTGGGAGTGTAACACACACTTGGGCCCTTTAGTGACGGTAAGTTTTCAGCAACATTGGTAGTTGTAGATGTATTTGAGCAACTACCTTCTTCTGACTCCTCTTGCATTGTCTGCATATAATATCAAATATATGGTTTACAATGGGTACTATAATAAAATAATCCATTCCATGGTGCAACTAACTGGACACCAACAAAAACAGTCTAAAATATATGGTTATGGTATCATAAAAAAGAGTTACTATATGGTATTAAGCAAGGTGTTAGTCATTTAAGCAAATACACAAACACCTTATGTGCAACAATTTCTCCTAGTGTTTAATATCATATATCCAGGAAAAAAAAAACTTTAATATAAAAAAAATATATATATATTGCAAATATTTATACAAAAACGAAAAAAAGAGCATATTGTTGATGAGGATTGAAACTACAAGTTGATGAGATTGAAACTAAAAAACAGAGCACTATTATAAAAACAGTCTACAATAATCACATACAAGGAAATAACCTACCATGCGCAATCAAATAGAAATTCAAGAAATTCAGCTTATATACAAGGAAATAATCACAGTTATATCGGTATTGTAAGCCGCAATCAACTAGAAATTCAGCTAAAAACAGAAATTAAAGAATGAAGAACACTTACTAAGATTATTGAGGAAGCCCCAAATTATTGAAGAATCACGAGCCCTCAATTTTGGGAGTAAATAATCAAAGTAGCCCTAAAATTTGACGAATTGAGGAATTGACGATTTGATAATGAGATGAAAAGAGGATTTGCTGAGATTTGCTGAGATTTTGCGTTTTTTTAGCAAAATTAACAGAGGATTTGCTGAGATTTGCTAAGATTTTGTGTACCTTGTATTTCAACCGTTAGATTATATCATTAATAATCAATGGCTGAGATTTGCTGTTTTTAATTTTCACCATAAGCCCTGTTTTTAGCGGAACCCTCCCGTATATATATATATGAACCTACCATAATTGGTCAATGGAGAATATCAAATGTGAAACAAAAGAATAAAATAAACACAAACGGCCAGCCACATTTTTTTTCTCTCTCTTCTCTCTCCTCTCTCCTCTCCTCCATTTTCTCTTCCCTGAAGAAGTGAATTGAAGCACCGAATTTCTTGGCACTCCAACCCAGATCGCGTCGTCTTCGTTTCTCTCTCCTCTTTTCTTCTCCGATCTATCATTCGTCATCGTCGTGGGTTAGGGGCTGGCCTGGTTAGGGTGCTTTCATCGTCGTTGGTTAGGGGTCTGGGTATGGTTATGGGTTCGATCTAGGTTAGGGTGGGTTTTGGGTGTGGGTTGTTCGTGGGTGGGTTTGGCGGTTGTTCGTTTTGGGTAGAATTGGTTTGGTGGTGGTTTCGTGGGTGGGTAGTGGCCTGGTGGTTTCGTGGGTGGGTAGTGGCCTGGTGGTTTCGTGGGTGGGTAGTGGTAATGTTGTGGGTGGGTAGTGGTGGTTTTGTGGTTCTGGGTTCTAGATCTGTTTTGTTGGTGGTTTAGGTTGGTAGTGGTAATTTTGTTGGTGGTAATTTCGTGGTTGCTGGTGGTTAGGGTGGGTTTTGGGCTGGTGGCGTGGGGCAGTGGGTACGGGAGGTGGTGGTGGTGTGGTGGAGTTAAAGGCTTTGAGGTGGTGTAGGATTAGGGGTTATTTACTTGGTTAGGACTTACTAATAAGTCCAGCCAGGAGTTACTTGGTAGGGGTTACTTACATGAGGTTATTTGAGGGGTTACTTTGGGGGTTACTTGAGTGGAGTTACTAATAGGGCAGTCTGCCGCACCATGCGGCCACTGTAAAATAAATATGTAATCTAGGATAAAATATAAGAAAGTTTGAATAAAAAATATAATATTTAGTCATAAAAGATGGAAAAAATAATTTTTATTTGCTTGATTAGGGATAAAATAAAAAGTTGATTTTGGACCAAATTACTTTTTATACTGGTATTGAAATATAGTTTTAAATTGGTATTTGCACGGGATCTAATCTAATACTGATTAAATCAAAGTATTGTAATTTTAATGAAGCTGATGAGAGAGTATATAATACCACCAACTATACTTTATGTATTACAGAGTATAATTTAAAATCATCAAATTATATTATAGTTATACATATATTTTTCTAAAATTATGCGTTCAGCCTTATGCTGCATGCTAGCTATAAAATAACTTAAACGAAGGGAGTACTAAAATTTGATTTAAGCAAAAAAAAACGGACCGGGGAGCTATTACAAAACTCTCTGTTGTAAACTGATATTATGTTTTTTATGATTGAGAATAAAGAGGATTTAGGCAAAAAATTGCTTGAGAAATATTGGTGGATGATCGACTTCGCCAACAAAGATGAAAGAACTGCCCTTGATGCGGCTAGGGAATCAAATATATCATGGCTTACAAATTTGCTGAAGAAGCCTTCTTTGATACTACAAAGAAAATCCTTCGATTGGATTACCAAATGTGAGGAAGATGAGACACACTTTGTACTTAACTTCATTGATTATTGCAAAGATCTTCGTCAAGTTTGTCGTGAGCTGAATGATACTCCTCTGCACCACATCAAATTGCATTCTTATGAAGAGTACTTAAATTTGTTAAAGAAGCCATCCATTGCGGAACTAAAGAATACAGCTGATTATGAGGGTGCAACACCTTTGCATCGTGCCCTAGAGAGGAAGGACATGCATTTTGTAAAGGCCCTACTCGATGATGGTGTTGAACATAACATATAAGATCGTCATGGTAAAACTGCCATGGATTTGCTTGATGAGCTTTGCGAGGAAAACAACGAATGGGTATGCTCTTCCAAATCGTTTTTTTATGACTTTTTGAGAAACTATATAATAAAACCCAAATTTTGTAAAAAAAATTATCTAATAAAAAAAATGGTGTAAAAAACTATCTAATAAAAGGTAAAATGTTGTAAGATACTACCTATGACCGGATCTATTCTGTTGACCAAACTTTCTGTCGTTGACCCACCTCTACAGTAACTTTGAAAATAAGATAGTAAAAAAACAATGGTTAAATATCGTATATATCAAGTAAGGAGGCATTAAAGTAGCTTTGAAAACAGGTTTATTTGCATGGGAATAGGTAAATATTTTTGTAAATATAAAAAAATACTCGCTCCGGCCCATAATTACAGACAAATAACTCTAAAAAGTACGGTTTTAAAGGAGGATGGAAAAAAGTAGAGGAATATTGTATGAAAAAAATAAAAAGTGAAGAATGTTGTATGGGATAATAAAAAATAGAGAATATCGTATGGAAAAGTTAAAAAGTAAGCAATGATTTTTTTGGTATGTGTGTATTTTGTATGAAAAAGAGAAATAATAAGTAATAATATGATTGTTTAGATATGTGTGTAATTTTTGGGAAATACAAATTCTTAAATGGACCTGGTTCACACTAATTTATTGTGGACCACTAACATTAGAGAAAGTATGGTTGTTTTATTAACAAAAAAAGGGTCACTATAATTTTTTAAAAGGTCACTATGTTGAAATAAAAATCATTTTGGTAATATATAGGCCTAAGTGGTTATTTTTGTAATGAAATATTTTATATACTGATCAATATGAATAATAAAGGTCACTATGCTAAAATTAGGGTAATAGCGTCGTATTTCAAGTTCACAATATTATTAAACGTTGTAGTAGTTTTAATAAAGGTTACTATGTTAAAAATAAGGTTACTATGTTAAAAATAATGGTCACTATGTTCAATATAATGTCAGTTGCGTGTGTATAGACCTCGAGTCCACAATAATATTATTGTGGACCAGGTCCACGCAAGTCTTTTTGTTTATGAAAAAACTAAAAAAGTAAGCAATGATTATGTGTTATTTTTCGTAATAGGAGGAACATTTTAGGACATCCAAAATAGTATATTTGTCTGTAATTATGGGACGGATGGAGTTAATCAGAGTAAATAACTTTATTTGAATTTAATTCCAATAAACTTAACCCTCCCTCAGAAATGAAAGGAATACTGTATAAAATAAGGATAATAAGAATGAATTTGTAAATATCTTTAGTTGAATTTAATTTTAATGTATTGGTCATTCTGCTAATCTATTTGGCTCACTAGCAAAATCAATATTCCCTCTGTTTTTTTTAAGTGCTCTATAGTGACATGATACGCATGTCGATGTAAAATTTAATCAATAATATCTTCAATTATCAATAACTATAAATCACAACGATTAAATACTAATAATCTATTCTCGTAAAAAATATCTATTCATTTAGACGATTCTATCTATTACCTATGAGACTATAATATTTATTACGTATGAATCAGAAACATTGATTAAAGCAGCTCAAATGAACAGTACCAAAATTTGAGGCACTTATAAAAAGACTGAGGAAGTATGATGGAGCTGAATTAACATATCTAATGGCGTGCAGGATATGATGTGCAAAGAGATGAATATAGTTCCACACTTGAATACAACATATGTCAATCCAGAAACAAATTTGGATCAAATGCGAAACACGCTATCTGTTGTTGCAGCTCTTTTAGCAACAATCACATTTGCGGCTGGATTTACACTTCCTGGTGGCCTTGATGATAAATCTGGGAACGCCATTTTGGCAAAGAAAGCAGCATTTTTAGTGTTTATACTAGCAGACGCGTATGCCATGTGCATGTCCATGTTGGTCCTGTTTTGCTTGATATGGTCTATGGTTTCCGAAATAAAATTGTCTTATATATTGGTGGATCGAAGTGTATTGATACTTATGCAAGGCCTATATGGCACGATGGTGGCATTTATGACCGGTATCTACACCATGATAGCGCATGACTCGTTATGGGCAGTCATTATAATCATCCTCATGTGCTCTTTCATTGTTATTTTGGCAAATAGGACCATTTTGCATTACATACTAGTGAAGCTACTCCCTGCAGCAAATAAAAACTTAGACAAGGGCC